GCCGACTGGAATTGCAAAAGAAAAGCTTCGCTGCAAGCAGTTTTTTGCTTTCTTTCAAATGCAGTGGTAGACACAATGGATGGCGAACAGCACCACCAGGACACCCTTTCCTACACTATTAATTGTACAGCAAGTACTGGAAGTACCACTGAACGCAGTGTCGAGGATGCCGTCGCCGGTGTACTAACTAGTTTTAGCTCTGGTGATCTTCGAAATGCATGAAATGGGAAGCACAGTGTGGAAAGCCACAAGTACTACAGCGAAGGGAAAAAGCAGAAAGTCGAATTTCGATCTGTTCAACAGCTGCACGAAACGTATATTGTCACGGAGTTATCTGTGTGTGTGTGTCTGAGTGTATGTGTGTATGTATATGTGTATGTGCGTGTGTGTGTGTGTGTGTATGTGTGTGTCCGAGTGCATTTTATCCGTGAGTTTCAATTCCGGAATCATAAAAGCTATTAAGTTGGAATTTTAGAAAAATGCTCCCCCGCCTCGCAAATTTAATTTCAGCCTTTCCCCACGCCTGGGTACCAAGTGCGACTATGTAAAAGTTTTGTAGAGAAAAACTATTATCTCAAGAACCGGGAAAACTAGGAAGCTGAAAATTTAGAGTAATATTTCCCGCCCATGTATGACACCGTAAATTTAATTTTAGCCTTCTCGCGCACCTGGGTATTACGCGTGATCCCCTGAAAATCATGGCGGGAAAATTATTGTCTCGGAAACCATAGAAGTTAGGAAACTAGACTTTTAGGATAATGTCTCTTGCTCACATAGGATACAGCAAATCTAAAATCAGCCTTCATATTACCTCTGAGTGCTATGTACGGCCGCGAAATTTCTGGTGGAAATTATTATCTTTGAAACCACAAAAACTAGGAAACTGAAACCGTAAAAAAATATTCCGACTCCTTCTACGTATGATTCGCAAATTTTATTTCAACCTTCACGCACTACCGGGCACCGTACGGTTCCATGGAAGTTTTAACGAGGAAAATTATTATTTCGGGAGCCAGAAGAGTTGGGAGGCTGAAGATTTCAGGGGATGTTCTTTGGTTATGCAGGGGCTTCGCAAGTTCGTAGCTCCCAATTATGCGGCGAACTAACCTGCGACCACGTGAAAGTTTTGGCACGAAAGTCATCTGGAAGCCAGAAAACTATGAAGTTGAAGTTTTGGACAATGTTCACCGTCCAAGATTTTAAATTCAGCTTTCACATCTACCCACGTTTCACGTACTGGTGCTTGAAATCGCTGGCAGGAAATCTCGCAGTTTAGGAGCCACACAACATAACAAATATTTTTCCAGAAACCAAAGTGTAAAACAATGAAAATCCTAAGCAGGCAAGCGTCCGTCCTATGGAACTGTTCAAAATGCAGATGATTGCACTGGCTACCATGGTGCACGTCGCTATTTATTTCTCCTGAAGTCATACCGAATTAAGGTGTTATCTTGCCTTAATCCTAGTTCTAGTTTTGCTAGCTTCAGCAGTCCAAAATTATGTTACAGGGAATAGGTGCCTAAGGTGATTATTGGCTCGGAATGCATTGGGATTCACTGCAGTGTAGTACTAAATCATTTATATGGTTGCGTATTAACTTCCAAAATCTCAGCTTATCTGATCAAAGACTTGAAGGATTTAGGCAGACGGGCAGACCCGTACACATTTAGGGGCAATTCAGTATTTGTTTCACTATAAAC